ATTGTTTCTTTCAGAGGGCCAACGAGTAAGTAGATCCACCGAGCCTTGGAATTGCAAGCCACAGTGTTTGTGCTACAGGGGCGGGTTGGCTGGGGCGCAGCAGCATGCATGTGTTTGGGGCGGTCGGACGGCGACGCCAACGCTGTAAAGCACTAGTGGCTCGGCGTCCCGGCGCGGGCCTCACGTGGCCCACATGTGGGCCTCACTTTGGCTAGTTTATATTATTATTAGCATCATCATCATCATTATCATCATTATTATTATTCGTATTACTATTATTATTTTTACTATTATTATTATTATATATATATATGTATTACAAATACTATATATACATGTACGTGTGTGTATATGTATGTATATATATACACATATATATGTATATATATTTGTATATATATATATGTATATCGGCGTAGGGCCCGGGGGCGGCCCGGGGCGCTGCCAGTAACCTCCATGGGGGGGTGCAGGGCGCCCCCAGGAGCGTCCGAAGCGTCCCGGAGGGCCCCTGGGACCGCCAGGAACAGTTCGAGACCGCCCAAGACGGCCCGCGAGCGCTCCAAGACGCGCATAGATAGCCTCAGGAATGGCCATGAAGGCCCGAAGACGTTCCAAGAGAGCTCCATGAGGCCCCGAAGGCATCCCAAGAGGCCTCCCAATAGAGCCCCGACAAGCCAAAATCGTTAATTTTTTTTTTTTTTTTAGGTTTTTGGCCTTCTCGCTTTTTCGGGGTTCCGACGCTCCAAGGCCGTCCAATAGTCTCCCAAAACAGCTCCAAGACGGCCGAAGAGGCCCCCAAGACCGCCCCAAGACTGCCCAAGAGACCCCCAAAATCGTCCCAAGACGGCCCAGGAGAGCCCCAAGATGGCCCAGGAGCCGCCCAAGACGGTTCCAGGAGAGCCCCGACAGGGCTTCAAGACTGCCTAAGCGAGCCCAGCGGTCCCCAAGAGGGCCCCGCGAGGCCCCAAGAGGCCCCAAAGAGGCCCCCAAGAGCCTCCCCGGAGGCCCCCAGAGGCCCCCAAGATGCCCAAAAATGGCCCTGAGCGCGCCCCAAGACGCCCCCAGGAGAGCCCAACAGGCCTCAGAGAGGCCCCCAGGAGGCCCACTGGAGGCCCTCAGGAGGTCGTCCCCATCATGTTCCCGGAAGGCGGTCCAGGAACATGATTCCGCGCCTTGGAGGAGTATTATGCGCCTTCCGAGGCGCCTTGGACGACGTACGTATGTTTCTATAGATTGTCCTTCTCCCGTGTGCACAATCCTACATGTTTTACGTATGTTTCTACATATATATATATATGTATATATATATATATATATATATATTTGTATGTGTATGTATGTATGTATGGATGCATGCATGCATACATGGATGCATGCATGCATGCATGCATGTATGTATGTATGCATGCATGCATGTATGTGTATATATATATGTATAATAGGGAGGGGGTCCTGGACCAGGGGGGGCCTCACTTTGCCCAGTGGCTGTGGTCACCCCCCCGCCGGAGACGCCAGGACTCTCCCAGGACCCTCTAAAATGGCTCCAGGACGCCCTCAGGACAGCCCAAGAGAGGTCCGAAGCGGCCCGGGAGCACTCCAAGACGGTTAAAAAGCTGCCAAAGCGTCCCAGCAGGTCTCCGACAGCACTCTCGGGAGGGGCCCAATAGGAAATTGTCACTGATTTTTAGAGGGTTTTGAAGGGTTTTGGCGTTCTCCCCAGTTCAGCTTCCAGACGCTCCAAGGCGGCCCAAGAGGCCCGAAAGATCGCCTCAAGACGAGCCCAGAGGCCCCCAAGAGACCACCGAGACAGCCCAAGAGGGCCCCAAGACAGCCCAGGAAGCTTCCAAGACGGCCCACAAGAGCTCCCAGAACACTCCAAGAGGAGCCCCAGATGGGGAACACGAACTGACATTTCGAGCCCTCGCCCACCAGAAGCTCCCAAGAGGCCCCCAGGAGTCCGCAAGAGGCCTCGAGAGGCCCCCAGGAAGCTCCAAGAGGCCTCCAATAGGCGCCGAAAGGGCCCCGCAAGGCTTCCAGACGCTGGTGATAATGACAATGATGATTGTGCAGGGCGGCCTCAGGCCCACAACCTAAATCCCCAATACTGCTCACGCGGCATGCAAGACGCTGCGGAGATATCCTCGAGTTCGGCGGGGGAGCTTCGGAGACAACGGTGACGAAAATGATGTCGATGATGACGACGATTATGAAGTTGACGACGACGATGATGATGATGATGATGATGATGATGATGATGATGATGATGCTGATGAGGATGATGATGATGATGTCGATGAGGAAGAAGATTACGATGATGATGTTGACAGTGGGAATGCTGATGCTGATGATGATGATGTTGTTGATGATGTTGATGATGGTGATCGTGATGTGAGTGATGGTGATGATGATGATGATGATGGTGGTGATGCTGACGATCATGATGACGATGACGGTGATGCCGTTGAGGATGGTGATGCTGACGATCATTATGATGATGCTGCTGATGGTCAGGATGATAACGCCGATGCTGATAATAATGGTGGCGATGCTGTTTATGGTGCTTGTGATGCAGGAGTGGGCGGATGATGAAGATGATGACGATGATGATGACGATAACGATGACGACGATCACGACGACGACGACGATAATGATGACGATGGCGATGGTGAGGATGATAATGTTGATAATTCAGGTGACGATATTGACGATGATGACGACGATGGCGATGCTGACGATGGTGATGACGATGTTGCTGCTGATGGTGGTGATGGTGACGATTGTGATGATGGTGATGGTCATGGTGATGATGACGATGCCGCTGACGATGACGCCGGATATGATGGTGATGAGGATGGCGATGATGACGATGACGATTCTCCCAGCTAGAACGTAAGCGCGCGCGAAGCGCGCGCGATGGTTCTAGTACATACATATGTGTATATCACATGGGCCTCACGTCCTCGCAGCTTAAAGATGCTGTGCTACATTGGGAACCCTCTGCAATCTGCACAGACGGCCAGGCCTCTGCAACTGCACGGCAGCCCGCGCGTGGCCCGCTCAGGGCCCACGCCGGGCCGCCCGGCAGCTCGCGGGCCCACGCCAGTCCACGTCCTCCTCCTCGTGCTCCTGGCCCCTCCTGTCTTCGTGTCTCTGCTGCCCCTCGTCGCCCACGCTGCCCTCCTAGTCGTCCTCCTCGGCGTGCTTCGCTCCGTCTTGGCCGTGCTCCCCGTCGTGCTCGTCCTGTTCCCGCCTTGGCCTGCTCATCCTCGTCGCCGTCTGCCGCTTTCTCGTTAGCGTCCACCTCCTCGTCATCCCCGCTCTCCCCTCATTCACGCGTTCCTTCTCCTTCTTCTACGCTGCCGTCCTCATGCCCTCCTCGGCGATCTGGTCGTCCTCCTCCTTCTCGTGCTCGTTCTCCTCGTCTTCACCTTCCTCGTCCTTGCGCTTGTCTTTATACTTGTCGTCCGCCCGGTCCTCCTTGCTTTCCCCTCGCCCTCCAGGCTGTCCTCCTCACCCGTCTCTGTGGCGTCCTCATCTCCCTTCTTGTCTTCCTTCGTCTTACGAGACGAGTTGACCAACCCGGCGCTTCCCGTTCTTATGTGTTCAAGCTTGCTTGTTTTGGCCAGCGTTGCGGATAGAAGCGGCAGCATTCCGGCGGCTGATGCGATCATATTGACAACCAGCAACGCCGCATGGGGATGAAATGAGGGGGATGGGGGATGGAGAGCGGCAGGGAAGGGAAAGATCCCGGTTCCTCTCCTCCCCCGGGGGGGGCCTCTCAGAGGCCATTCTGGTTTCTTACAAGTTTTTTGCTACAAGCTTCAGGGCTCGTCCAGGAATATCTCCCCGCCATATCACGCCCTCCTTGTCTCACCTTGGCCGCCCACCTTCCCCCCTGACTCTTCGCCAGGCTCGTGCAGGCCTGCCCGCCTGTCGCCGAGCCGCGCAGGGGGAGCGAGACCTGGAGACAGCCCGGCCAGGGACGCGATCCGAGCATGTCTGACATCAAAGGGCCAGAATCGATCCGCCCACGTCCTGCCCCATCTTTCGGTGGCGGCAAAGAGGGGGCTGATGACTAGGGGGGGGTGGATATCAGGATCACGGCGCGGGCCATGATAGTTCCCCAGACTTCATGGCGCCTCTTCTTCTTTCATTCCGCTCCTGGCCCCCCCGCTGGGCCGCGCACGTGCCGCCGGTCACGATTTCCACCCCCCCCCCTCTTGGACACCCCCCTCTTGGCCGCTCCCGAATCTCAGCGGGGTCACTGGCCGTGGATGCCAAACATCCCCCCGACCCCCGGAGATCCGACCTCGTGACTTGTTCACAGCGTGGCTCCCCAGAGATCTGGACCCCGTGCCGGGGACGGTGCTTCACCTGGGGGTCCCAAGCAAGGGCCCTAGGAGGTACTCCAGATTTCGTAATAAAAGGGAGGGGGTCTGGACCCTCCAAGACAAGCCATTTCAGACCCCCCCTCGTGGGAGACCCTCCAAAACATCGTCCCCAGACCACCCCAGGCCCTCCAAGATAGCCTGGAAGAGACCCCCACCGAAATGAGACCCCCCTCCCTTTATTACGAAATCTGGAGTAGAGAAAGTGCCCAAGACGGTCCGCAGTGATCTGACCACGACGCGAGCAGGTTTAGGGTGCGACCTTTGCAAACACAAATGCTACATCGTGGGGAACCACGGCCAGTGCCTCAGACCCCACCTTTCTGCTGCAATCCTCTCCCTGCGGGCTCGACAATTCTTCTCCAATCGAGTTGCGGGGATCTCGCTAGGTAGAACGATGCAAGTCGAGGTACATCCGGTGCAATCGATGTAAATCCAGGGGCATCACCAATTTGAAATCTGGGATTTTCACGAATCCAGCTTCATACTTTTTCATGGTTTTCACGAGGACCTCCCAGAAGTTGCCTCCAAAGGTCATCGCTCCCTCCCTTCGCTTCCCCCCCAGGCGCCCCGCTGCATGGCTTCGATTCCCGCTCCCACGACCATTCGGAATGGACTTCGCCAACGCCGCGACCAGGCCCCTGTCTTCCGCGGACGGCTTGAGAGCACCGTACCGCGCTGGTGTCTCCCAAGGCGGCGTCGATCCTCGACCCAGGAATGGGGTGCGGTGCACAGCTTTCTGGCCCCTTGGGCCCACAGAACTATGCGCCGAACCCCGCCGGAGCGGGACCTGAAGGGAATCTGGTGCAGTGCATGGGCGTCGTTCTCGCTTCTGAGGGTTGGGTTTGGTTGCGTGGAAGCTTTGCACTTATCCGAAAGCTGTTTTGGAGTTCAGCTGCCACAAGTGGCGAATACAGGATGATAATTAGGTGGACAGTTGGCGCGGGGCGTGTGCCGCTATGTGCCACTAGCCGGTTGCCGCTATTGGCCGCGCTTTGCTGCTGTGTGCCGCCAGTCCGCCAACATTGGACAGGTTCCCATGAAAGCGAACGTAATCTGGGCCCCAGCCCCCCCCGCCCGCGCCACTCTTTCGTAGTGCGGGTCCCTCGGACAGACGGCGTGCGCTCGCCCATGCGTCCGAACATTCAAGCTTGCACGATCCACGCGGTGTCAGAAAGCAACGACGGAATCATCACGACGCGAACACGTCGTATTCGACTCCCGCGCCCACCTTTCGGACTGAACTTCGCTAACGCCCCCGGCCTGACCCCTCTCTGGGCCCCAGCCCGCCCGTGCTGCCCTTCCTTCAGCAGGGCCAGCCCGCCCGTCCAAGCATGGGGCCCCAACACCCCGACGTCATGATTGTTCACAACGTCGACACCCCGAGTTATGGACCCACTCCCGAGGCCCGACTCTTCGTCCTGAGCTGCTTGTTGACGGCCCCCAGGCCCGGGAAGGGACCCCTGAGGCAGAACATAGCGACAAGCCTTCCGTGGTGACCCACCCGCGACCGATCCACATTGGTTTCAGAAATAAACGGCGCCTGCGGCGGGCTCGCTGTGTAATTGTGCAACTTCGGCGCCTGCGGCGGGCCTCTCCAGAGTCTCTCGGACTGCCGACGTCCCCACCGTCCCCTCACTCTTATCCGCATTTGCGGGGTGCTACGTCATGAGGGACGGAGGGAGGAGGAGGGACAGGAGGAGGAGGAGGAGGAGGAGGAGGAAGAGGAGGAAGAGGAGGAGGAGGAGGAGGAGGAGGAGGAGGGGATCTGGGTGCGGTGCCTGGGCGCCGTCCTCGCACCTCGGGGCCTCGGCCCGCCTGCGCCGCCCCTCCGCAGTGCCGACCCGTCGGGCCGGCGCCCGCCGCGCCGTCGCCCAGGCGCCCCGCGCTCGCCGCGGCCGCGCTCCTCGCCGCGGCCGGGCCGCCGCCGCCGTATGGCGGCTTCTGCGCCAGAGGCGCCCCCGCGGGCCGCCGAGACGCCCCACGGCAGGATCGTCGTCGTCGTCGTCGTCGTCGCCTTCGTCGTCGCCGTGTTGTCACGAAAAAGTCACGACGGGAGGTCTTGCCCTGTGTTTGGTGTCTGGGGACCCTCGCCGGAGCTCGGTGCAGAAACGGTCCAGGAGAATGGGTCGCAGCCTTTGAGGGCCCACGTCATGAAACAATCATGACTTTCGGTGGCTGGGGTCGTCGTTGTCGTCGTCGCTGCCGTCGTCGTCGCCATCGTCGTCGTCGTCGTCGTCGTCGTCAACGTCGTCGTCCTCGTCGTCGTCGTCGTCGTCGATGGTCGTGGTCGTGGCTCCTCCCAGGGCCCGCTTTTTATCCGACGAATGCGATGAAATGTCGGTTCTGGCTTGCCCGATCCGCTTCGATTCCGGCTCCCAGACGCCATCGGGTCATGAGAAAATCATGACGGGAGGTTTTTCGTTGTTCTGGACCCTTCGGGGTTAGATGATATTTGAAACGCTCAGTCTTTAAAACAAATCTCGACATTGTCGTTCCATTTTGGGCGCCTCTCTTGTTGCGTTATCAGGTCCTGGATTAGCCCGTGGCCCACCTGCTCGTTGTCTTTCCGTTTTCAATGCGTGTTTACTGCGTCCTTAGGTCTTAGAAGGCCGTTGGCCTGACGTCCACATTTCAGGCTGTCGTTGTTTGCAACGTTTTGGTCACATCAAAAGCGACAAGTGGCAAACTTTACTAAAACGCCCTCAGCGCGTTCGAGAACAAGTGAGCTCAGGGGGCCCTTACCAGGACTTCTGTGGGTCCACGTCGTGGAAGAAATCATGACGTCGGGGGGCTGGGTATTCCGAGGGTCCAATGCGGCCCGATGCTTGCATGGCGTTCTGGTGCATCCTGGCGTAGCCAATCCGATTCGATGTCAATGACGTGCTGATGCAGCCCGATCCGATGCACGTTCCGTTTCGATCCGGTGTGCCGATTCGATTATCATTGATTTTGTTTGTGGCTTTGGACTGCAACAGTCGGGAGGGCAAATCCGCGGACGACTTATGTGGACAGTGCGCGTTCGCGTCCCCGAGGCGTCGTCGATCCTCGAGTCTCGTGGATCGAGGACGCCTCATCTCGGAAATGGGAGTGGTACGGTGCATGGATTTTCGGTCCTGAGAGCCGAAGAGCCCTGCACCGTGAACGCGCTTGAGCGGGACCTGAAGGGAGTCCAGGCATGGTGCGGTGCACGGGCGCCGTCCTCGAATGACATTCCATGGCCAAAAATGTCTGTCACTGTCACTGAGTAGTGCCTCGCTGCCCGTCTCTGCTTCACAGTCGGGCGCCTTATTGTTCTGCTTTACAGTCGTGGGGCGTTCTCGCTCTGATCATTTTCCTGAAGTGTCGCCAATCGTGCGCTCTTCTGCCCACGCGTCCTTCCGGATGCTTGGCTTCGTGGTGGTGGTGGTGGTGGCCCAAAAAGAGCCTAATCCGGCACAGTCCCGTCGCATTCCTGCGCGGCCCCGTGCTTTAATCCTAGGCTCAACCTGGGCTCATCGCCAATCTGGCGCAGTGGCCCTCGCATCGGGCTTCACAGCCCTCAGCTGCCTTCTAGGGTCGTTGGTGTCACGGTGGTTACCGCTGTCCGTTTGCGCACCCACAAGCTAGCCAAACAGGCCTGAGCACCATGTTTTGGTTTACATGACTTCTGACGTTTATTTTGATCGCTTCCGCGCTAACCACCATTGGGGGTAACAACATGGTAGTTCGGATTTTCGGGATCATCCGAGTGAGGGGGCCGAATGGTCATTCACTGTCCCTTGGCGCTTGGTTGAAGTGATGCTCTACGGTGCCGATTGTTGTTGTTGCTGCTGTTAGGGTGCTGTTGTCGTTGGTGTTGTTGTTGGTTGTTGTTGTGGTTAAGGTCGTGGTTGTGTTTGTGATTGTGGTTATTGTTGTTGTTGTTGTCATTGTTCTTGCTCTTGTTAATGTGCTTGTTCTTGTTCTTGTTATTGTTGTGGTTGTGGTTGTTGTTGTGGTTGTAGTTGTGGTTGTGGTTGTGGTTGTGGTTGTGGTTGTGGTTGTTGTTGTTGTTGTTGTTGTTGTTGTTGTTGTTGTTGTTGTCGTTGTCGTTGTCGTTGTCGTTGTCGTTGTCGTTGTTGTTGTTGCTGTTGCTGTTGTTCTTGTTGTTGTTGTTGTTGAACATTATTACTTCTAAAGAATAATTATTGTTGGGGCCCCTGGTGCACGACCCCCCCGCCGCGCCTAGGCCGCAGCCTCATTTTCATCATTTTCGTGAGGAAGTCTCAGGCAAAACGGGTTGGTCCGGATCCGGTTGTGTTGTTACGATCGGTTTTCCCTTGCAAAAAAAAGCTAAAGTGGACATTTCTTGTTCTAACATAACCAAACTTCAAGAATCCCTTGCAAAAAATAAGGTAAAGTGGACATTCGCGCGCGCAAGACGAAATCCTTCCAAAACCTTAGTTTTCGTAGCGATTTTAACATAAAAACATCAAAAAACCAATGGTTTTTCAAAAAAAAAATGTCAAAATTTCATCCCGCGCGCTCTTGCGGATTCGTAGGAAACCCAACACTTTTTAATCATTTCTGTCAAACGGGCTTTTGCGAGCAACTTTTTCGAACTTCTGCAACAACGGTTGCGCACCTGCCAGGGCCATCATCCCTGTCAAATAATACCATGCGGGACACATTCGTTTTTTCTTCGCGCGCGCACGCCGTCGTCGTCGGCCGCGGGGCCCTGAATAGTAGCCACGGTCGTCCGCATGCCACGAAGTGAAGTGTCCGAACGTCATAGGGCGGGAAGCTGGGTGTGGGTGGTGGCGAAGAGTCGTTTGGAAATTTGGTAGAGCTTGAACCGGCCCCCCCACAAAGTGGGGGTATTGCCCGCCTCCTATGAAAACCCTGGCACTGGTGAGAACGGAGTGTCCCCACGTGCTAGTAATTGTTGTTGTTGTTGTTGTTGTTGTTGTTGTTGTTGTTGTTGTTGTTGTTGTTGTTGTTGTTGTTGTTGTTGTTGTTGTTGTTGTTGAATGTCTATTACTAAGCATGTATTATGGCTGGGCCCCTTACAGGCGCCCTGGCGCTCTCGCCGAGGCGCCGGCTTCATTTTTATCGAAAATGAGGCTCACTCTCAAGCGTTCTAGGGGACCGCCACAACCGGCCCCCCAACAACAACGCTCCCGTTCGAGATGTCTTCCTTTTTTGCTCAGGGCCGGTGCTGTTGCTCGCCGCCGAAGGGCAGCCGTCTCAACAAAACCAGCGCTCCCGTTCGAGAGTTCCTGCTGTTTTACATCTTCCTCCCTCTTCCTTCTTCCACCCCCTCCTCTTCTCCCTCCTCCTTCCTCCCTCCTCCGTCCCTGTTTCCTCCCTCCTCCTCCTCCCCCCCCCTTCTTCTGTCTGTCCTCGTCCTCCCTCCTCCTCGCCCTCCCTCCTTCTCCTCCTTTTCCTCCTCCGCCTCCTCCTTTTCTACTTTTCCTCCTCCTCCTCTTCCTCCTCCTCCTCCTCGCCTTCTCCTCCTCTTCCCTCCTTCCACCTCTCTCTTCCTCCCTCTTCCTCCCTCCACGCCCTTCTCTTCTCCCTCCTCCCTTCTCCCTCTTCCCTCCCTCCTCCCTCCATTTTCCTCCTCCTTTCCCTTTTTCGGCCCCCTTGTCTCCTCCCTCCTCCTGTATCCCTCCT